GTTTCTCACATCTGTGTTTTTCTCCCTCCCTCCCTCCTTCCCTTCTCTTCTCTCTAGAATCAATAAGCATGTCCTTGGGTGAGGAAAAGAAAGAAAAAAAGAAAGGAAGGAAGGAAGGAAGGAAGGAAGGAAGGAAGGAAGGAAGGAAGGAAGGAAGGAAGGAAGGAAGGAAGGGAGAAAATAAGTTGATGAACCTCTAGTCAGACTGGTCAAGAGAAAAAGGATGAAGATACAAATTACCAATATCGGGATTAAAAAAAAAGACCTCACTACAGAGAGTAGAAGGATAATGAGTGAATATTATGAACAACTTCATGCCAATATATTTGATATCTTAGCGGAAATGTACTAACGGGGGGACTCTCTGAGAGACCAAGCCATTTCTTTTCTACCTGTGTTTGGTGTAATACTGAGGTTTGGGACAGGCAAGAGGGGAATTGAGGGCCACAGAGTGTCCTAACTCTAGGTCCAAAGGGGTTGGGCTGGCGGAGCCGACACTGGACTAGCTGCCACGTTCAAATTCCCTCAAGTTTATCTCAGGTCTAAGCCTCTATGTATCTCACTAAGAGACAGGCATGACTTCACTAAGAGACGGGCATGACTTCATTCTGGGGATTGCCCAATGGCAGTGTTGTAAATTTTCCAGATTTAGCCTGTCCTTCTTGCCCAAGTCACCTCCACAGCACCATCATAATACAGGGCTGAGAAGGTATCAAGAGCTGGATTCAGGTTCTGTCCCCCACCCCCTAACACCTCTCCCTCTCTCCTTCACCCCTTCCTTCCATGTAGACCCGGGCGAATGAGAACAAGCAATGGCTTTGGCATCAGACCAACCAAGTGTCCAGGCCCAACTCCTCCTCCAACGAGCTATCACCTTTCTAAGCCCCAATTTTTTCATCTCTATTTTAATGTAGTTATGAACTCATACTTCCAGGGTTGTAAAAGTTAAATAACAGGATATATGTACAATGCTATATGCAAGGTCAGGGCTAAATCACATCATTATCTGGTCTTTTCCCTAAAGGACTCCTTCCCTGGAAACTCCAGTGAGGATGACATTCCCTCTTCTCAATTTGATCTTGAACTTCAAAAGCTCCAGAAAGGCAAAGACTGGGTCTGTTTTCTCCCCCTGTGAGGACTGGGTAAGCTCACTCAGGCCAGAGCCTAGCATGGAGCAGAGTGCTTGATAAACGTGTTTTTGCCTTTCACCCTGCGCCTCTCCCAGGGAAAGTGTCCTCTCTGCCTTGCAGGTGGGTCACTTACCCTCCTTATCTGTGCAACGGAGAGGGGAGGGGCTACGGGTGCACTTACCATAGGGAGTCTCAGAGGTGCAAGTGTCCAACTCCTTGTAAGCTCCAAAGCTATACCCATAATTCCTAACAGCAGTAGAACACTGGTGACGGAAGGGGTGTGGTGGGAAGTGCGACCCTTGGTGAAGCCCCCCGGCCCTGCCCCGTGCCTCAGTCTCCAATCAATCTCTGCTTGGTAGCTTGACTTCTCTATTTGTGGTTTGGCCAAAGCATCTGCAGGCTGGGGTCTCAGAGCTGTCCTGTTCACACAGCGGCAGGAAGAGCAGGGCAGGCCATTACAGACAGGAATGTAAGGATGGCAGAACGTGTAAGGAGGGGGCCAGGACAAGTCAGTGCCTCATGTGAGCCCCCATGCTCACCTCACACAGGGGAGAACAGTCCCAGAACACAGATGGCTGCCAGGAAATGCCCTCTCTGGGCCACTCAAATTCTAGAGCTGGTTTTCCATCCAAGACCAATCGAGACCAAACTGCTTAAGCAATAGCCATAGGCTTGGCAGCTGGGGCCAACAGGAGGGAATTGTCACTCTGTGAGGTGGCCCAGAAGCAAGTGATAGCCCCTCTTGGCCCTTGGACTGGCCTTCTGCATCATTTGGTGGATGTTCACACATATGTGTGAGTTGGGACAGGTTTTACTTCCCCATTCCCCAGGCCTCACCGTTGCTCTAAATCACCAGCCTACCTGATCTCTCTGACCTCCCAGCCTAATCAAGGTGCACTTCCGCTCACACCCTTCATTTGGTTCAACCCCCACAAGGTACAGCCTGAGCTTCTTGGCTAGATTACAAGGTCTTTCAGATATCTGGTCCCCGTTGATCTCCCCAGCTGCACTTCCTATCCCTCCCCTGCCTCTCTCCCTCTTCCAGCCCCATCAGCGTGCAAATGGTTCCCATATCCAGGCCTCTGCCCGAACACCCTTCTCCTTCCTCTCTGCCAGGCACAGTCGTACTTATCATCTCAGCCCAGCAGCAATGTCGTCTCCCCTTAAACTTCCTAATTTACCATCCCTCCTTGGTGCTCCCATGGCACTTTGTCCATGACTCTATTGTACTTCTTCACTGGTCAGCCCACACTGGCTGAGCCACTGTGCCAAGCCAGGCCCTCACTGGGGCACAGGATGATGAGGTTCCTGGCTTGGGGAAGCTCCTGGCCCAGGGGAGAGGCAGACACAGCAGACAGACCATGACAGCACAGGAAGGAAGGGCTGAACTTGACACAGCCTCCCATGTTCCCCTGCACCACAGCGTAGCTGGCTGGCTGCAAGTACTGGCTTTGGGACATCTCTTGGTTGGGTCCCCTCAAAGGCAAAAACTATGTCTGATTACCCTCTATGTCCCAATGAAAGCTAGGCCCAGGAAGATGTACATAGAAAACATGTTGAAATGGATGAACTTGGGGTCTAAATATTTCAGAGAGGACTTGAAGACCCAAAATATTGCCATTTGAGATAATACCTTACTTATCACAGCATAGTGGTAACACTCTTTTACATGTGGTGATTTCATTTGCTCTTCAAATGTTGAAATAAGTCGGCAAGATAGAAACTGTCACCTCCACTTCATGAGGCAGAAACCTAGGCTGGGATAGAGACCTGCCCAAGGACACTTGGCAAGTCAGTGGTAAAGGCCAGAATCCAGGCCTCCTGCCTCCCAGCCCAAGCTCTGCTCCTTAGATGGTACTATCATGTGAGTGTGTGAGCTATGGGTCCCAACCCAACGTTCCCTCCCCAGGAGATGCCTATTTTGAAATAGGGGCATCCACACACTGTGGTCCTTCAAGAAGACCCCAAAACACCTTTGGGGAGAGGACGCAAGAACTCAGTGGCATCTTCATCATCTACCTGGCTGTACTCCTCTTTACCCAGAAATATGCCACACCTGTTCCTACCTCCCAGCCTTTGCACATAGCAGCCCCAAATGTCCCCCACAAACCTGGCCTGCCACTAGACTTCCCTTATTTTCCTTAAAGGCACCAAATGCTTTTCAGCCTCAGGGTCTCACCACATCTCTACCTAGATGTTTTTTTCTTCTCTTCTTGGTCAACTTATGCCTCAGAGCTCACGGATGTTTTCTCAAAGAAGTTTACTGCTATGGCCTTGAAAGGGTTGAACAAACAGAAGGGTCTCTAGGTCCGATCAGTGGTATTTGTCACGTGCTGCCCTGGCACTGTGGCTTCTGCTATGTCCCTCCTTTGAGGTGGTAAAGACCTCAACAGCAGAAACTCCCTCTCCTCTTTTGCTGTTACCCTACAACTGGCTTGTTCAAACAGTGCCCAAGAAATCTGTCTTTTCACTGACATGTTTGTTGCCCCTACCCCTTCCCTTACCCCCAACATCCAATAAGTCATTCACCACAGTCCGATAGATCGCACCACCTCCTGTGCTCTTCTCTAGCCCAGGCCTTTCCCGCCATTCCCTCTACCACTGCCCTAGCTCAGGGCTCACCCCTTTCACCTGGGTCCCTCCTGCCGCTCCTCATTGCCCTGTCCACCTCCAGCCCCTCCCAGCCATTCCCACTATGGTTGGAGGGCTTTAAAAACTAATCTGACCACTGTCATTTCCCTACTCAAAGCCATTCCAAAAACTCCACTCCCACCCCAACATCCCAAGAGTGACACTCAAAGGCTTTCATAAGATCAAGCCCAGCCTCCTGTCCCACCGCTGCCTGAGCTCCAGCCACTCCAGATGCCCTAGCCCTGCCCCAAATATGCTGGCTTTTCTAAGGCATTATAATGTCTGTCCTTCTGCCTTCCATCTACAAAACTACTCATCAGAGTACAATGAAAATAATTTTCAAACACTTCCTGTGTGCCTGGCATTATGTTACGCTTTTTTTCATACCTAACCTCATCTAGTTCTCAAAACACCTCACAAAAAAATAATTGTTATTATTCCCATTTTACAGACATGGAAACTGAGTTTCAAGAAAGGTAGAGTCAAAACTGGACTCCAGGTTCATCTGATTCCGAAACTGCTGTGCACACCGCCTCTTCCGAAATGCACCTAGTTCTAAGACAAAGGTAGGGGGTTTTCTCTTCCCTAGAACTGCTGCCAGTATGTTTGTGCAGCCAACACCTCCTCCACACATCACGGTCACCACCAGCTTGAGCAACCCAAGTTGAGGCCTGGGCTAACTGGGCTGTATTCCTAGCACTCCGCAGTGTGTAGATAGATAGATGCTATGTGAGGTTTCTTAATAAACAGATGGAAAGTTAGAGGCACCTTGGGTGATTTAGGAGCCCAACCCTAACCTAAGTAATCCCTGATGCTGACAAGGGGCGAGGCCGTGGCATCTGGAGCCAAGGAAAGGCCTTGCCAAAAGAATTAAAACACTACACCCCGGTCACAAGCCCTTGGCCTGACCCCCTGCACGTGTCGGTTCCCACCTCCCAGCTCACGGTCCAGCAGTCAGGCCGTACCAATCTCCGCCAGGGAGCGACAGAGGGGCGGACAGAGGGGCGGACAGAGGGCGCCGGAGGAATAACCAGGCGCACCTCTTGCAATGAGGATTAGACCTCCACGCCTCGCCCGTCTGCCCGCTCATTTGCGCGAAGCTAGGGGTTCGGCGGAGCAGAGCCCCAAGCACGCTCCGCGTGTCAGGGTTCGAACGCCGGCTTCAGCCCCGCCCCCGCCCGCATCGGGCCCCGCCCCGTTGTGAGGTTATAAAATGCAGCGCTCCGAGTCGCCAGCGCAGTGGCTGCTGCTAGGGCTAGGCTTTCGGCAGCTCCTCCCACCGCTGAGGGCCACCCACCGCCAGCTCCGGAGCTGTAGCCGCGCTCGCGTCAGCGGGGTCCCCAGGCTCCCGTGCTCGGCGCGAAGCCCCGGCCCCGGCGGCTGGGGCATGGGCCAGGGGCACAGGGTAAGGCGGCTTCCCGCAGAGCCGTTACCTGCACCGGCTTCAGCATGAAGACCTTCATAGCCGCGTACTCCAGGGTCCTGCGAGGTGAGCACCTGGCCCGGGCCGCCCTTAGTGAGAGCTCTAACGGAAAGGTCTGTGTTGTCACGTGAGGGGTCTCGGTGATCGGGTGAGAGTCTGGGAGATATAAGTTGTCACCACCAAGGGGTCTGCATGGCCTTTCGGGCTTTCTTCTCTTGGGTTTATGAAGCTGCTAGAAGGTTTTCAGGCAAAGCTGTGATGAAGGGCTCCAACAGCCAGCAGGAGCGTGTTCTTACAATGAGGGTATGTTGCTGGAGGACTGGCCACTGTGCAGGTTAAGGACCCAGTCCCTTTTCTTTTGGGAAAGCTTGCCGTGTCCCCCTCCGCCCCCGCGCGGATCAGCTGGGTCTGGGATCAGGGAAGAGTAATGGTTACCTAGTCTGATCCAGGCAGCTTGGCGTGGTAGTCAAGTCTGGGTTCATTCTCCACTCTAGCACGCCCCAGTATTTGCAACCGCTGTTACATCACTCTCCTTGCCCCAGCTTGTTTTTCTCATCTAGGAAATAGGGGCGATACTTGACAACTCCTCTCCAGTCCCCAACATTGTTGGTGGCCGCAGGCAGTTACTCCCCTGAAACAGCCATCAGAGAACATGCCTGACTGGGACAGGTGTGCCCACACTGCCCTCTGTCCAACGTCCACCCTCCAACCAAGGCTCTGGAGCCCACTCGGAAGCAACTGTGGGCTTGGCACACTTAGAAAGTGGGCAGAAAACGCTGTGACCTGCAGTGTGGCCCATGCCCCTGGAACTGAGGCCCTCAGTGTATCGGGCAGAGCCGAGATGAAACGCCAGAGCTTTTCCCCCTTGAGGAAGAGCATCCCTTCCACCTCCCACACAACGCTCTCCTCCCCCCACCACGTGTAGTTGGAGAAACTGAGGTTGGAGAAGTGCATGACTTGCCTAAGATTTCCTGAACAAAAATGCCTTAGCCAGGGGATTAAACACAAATCCAGGAAACTCTGGGACGTCATCAGAGCTGTCCTGGTCTGAGTGTATGTCTTGCCTGAATTTCCCTCCTTCCCTCCATCCCTCCCTCCCCCTAAGTCTTTATTCTGCTTGCTGAACCTGTCCTACTTAGGACTTCTCTTTAGTAACTAACAGTTGCCTACTCCACCCAGCTTCATTGTAAAAATAAAACATGATAATTATTCGAATTTTGAAAAGCATAGAAAAACAAGATAAAATTTAAAATTGCTGGTATTGACTATCTGAAGATAGCTTTCTCTTGCCATTTTAGTGTAATCTTTATAATTTTATTTACGCATATTGTATAGATAAAGTTGAGGTCATGCTATCGGTATAGTTCTGAAACCTGTTTTCTCCCACTTAATGTTACATCGTGAGTATTTCCTTCTGTTACTCAAAAATCACTTATAATACTCTATTGGCTCTGTCGCCCTGGAGCTGTATCACAGTTTAACCGTGTCTTGGGCATTGTTGTTGTTTCCTGTGTGATTGTTGCTATCATTGTTTGCCCCTCTTGGTCTGGGTGCTGCTTGCCCTTGGAGAGGTTCTGAGCTGCTGTCGCTGTCTTGAGGGGCAAGCAGCCTGAGCCGCCCTGTGCGCCTGGCCCAGTAGCCTCTGACCGCCCCTTCTCTCACTGAAGAGTGCTGGTCCGTTCACGGTGCCCTTTGAGGACCCGTAAGAAGGGAAGGAAGGGACTTACCACATTCATGCTTTGAAAAATGCTTTTGTCCCCAGGAATGAGCCTGGGATGTTCTCTGTGCTAGTCCTTCCTGGTGATCTCCTTCCCTCACCTCTGCTGTCCACGGGCTGGGAACCGTATCATCCAGGAGCCAGCGGCCCTGACGCTTATGGGTTTGACTTAGAGTTTGTTATTTAGGAGGACTTCTAGGGGATGAGTTTGACCAAGTGACTTAATATCGTATCAGGAGCATTTTCCCCATGTTGTTAACAGATCTTGAAAATGCTGTTTTGTTTTGTTTTCTAATTGGCTGCAAAAAATTCCATCCTGGGATGTAGCAAGGGATGGTATGAAATGCAAACCAATCAATTTAACTCTCTGGGATCTGCTTTGATGAAAGACTGGGTGGAGTAGGGGAGGGTGCTGAAGCAAATTTTGTGTTATCTGGGCATCTCTATTAGACCTGCTTTCTAGCTCCTTGGTTTTTGACAACACTCTCCAGTGGCCTGGTTTGCCTCTGTAGATAAGGCTCCATTGTTGTGAGGAGGTGAACACCCTGTTAGTGGCGGTATTCAAGGAGAGACCATGGATTCTGTGAAGAGAAGTCTTGCAATGGGTGAGAGATTGAATAGTCACCTTGGTTTCTAACTCATTGACCAAAAGAAAAGGCCAGCTATGGGAGCATGGGTAGGTGGGTGTCTATTAGGAGGGAGGCGGGAGTCTGTGTTGATGTTTTCTAATCTCTGAAGGACTGCCTGGTGTTGGGGTGGAGGCTGCAGAGTTAGTCGCGCCTGAATCCCTGCCTTTGCCCCTGGATGGGAGGTTCTTCTGGTTGGAGCCCTGTGATGCCTGTCTCTATCCCTAAGGTTCAACCGATGACCCAGCATGAGATGGTGGCGGCCCCAGTGACATTCTGAGCTGATTTGTTTTGTGTGGCTCCAAACAGCAAGACCAGTAGTTGGGGTGGGTTTATGGGGGCAGGTTTTGCTGTAAAGGAGGAATTCTTTCTAACAGCAGTTAAGGACTGCAGCAGGCTCTGTGTGGGTGGGGGGAAGTTCCCCATCACTGCGGGTATGCAGGCAGGCATTTGGTAGGGAGGTGAAATTAAGAGGCTAGATTGTTGGGGGATAATTCCAGAATTGAGGGTTGGCAGTTACCTAACTCAGTCCTAAATGGTAGGATGAGAACGTCACTCTGATGTTCCCCTCTTCCCTAAGTTTTTGTAGCTTTCCCCCTCCCCTGTCCCACTTCCTCACTGCGCAGAGGCCACTTTTGGGTTGTGATACCATTGGCTCATCTGGGCTGGGAAAGAAGGGCCAAGAGTAATATTTACTAGCAGGTTGGGTGAGTCAGTAGCCAGTGTGGAAATCCTGCCCCATGCCCCTCCTCCCACCTCCACATACAGCAGCAATACTTGAGTCATAAAAGCATAACTATCTGTTAACACCGAATCTGGCCCAGACCTTAAGTTGTATATGGGACCCCGAGGGCCCCCAAGATAAGGCACTGGTCCAGAGTTATCAAAGCCAGGATTAGAGCCCAGACCCATCTCCCAGTCTGTGACTCGCCTCCTTAAACCAAGGGAGAAGTGTGGGGAGGCAGCAGAGGGCGGAGCTCAGGGCCCTGGCCTTTGTAGGTGCTCAGCAGCTTCCAGTTTTCACGATGTGCGTGGTAGGAAGCCCCTCCCCCGCCCCCCAGCTTGCCCTGATGGATAGAGACACCATGAGCCCTCAGAGCTTTGATGCCAGGCAAACTGGCAGTCACCCCTCAGCCTATTTAAACCTTCCAGACTCTTCCTTGTGGCCATGAAACCTCCTGTGAGCAGCTCCACTGCTTCATGACCTCATCTTCTACCGTGCCGTGCTCCAGAGCTGCCAGCGCGGTCTTCCTGTTCCTGCAGCATCCCTCCTACTTCAGTCCTGCCCGCCTCCCTCAGGGGCTTTGTGTGTGCTGTCTTGTGCCCAGATCTTCGCACGGTGGCCTCTGGTCTCCCCTCATAGGCCTTTTCGGACCACGCATCTAGAGAGCCACCCCTAGTCACTTCACCACATCTTGTTTTATTTATTTTTTTATAGTCCTTATCATTACCTAAATTACTATGTGGACTTATCTGTTTAGATCATTGTCTCCCTGTAACAATATTAGCCCCTTGGGAACAGGGAACTTGTCAGTCTTTCTCAGTGTGATGTCCTTGGCACCCAGTACAGTGTCTGGAATGTAGTAGGTGACCAGCAAGTATTTGTTGAGTGAATGAATCATTAATGCGTCCTCACCCCTCCTGGGAGCTGCCCTGTTCATCTTGGCAGGATGCTCCATGTGATTGCACATTCTTCAGGCCTCCTCTTTGTCTGCCTGTGCTGGGGCTGCAGCTGTTCCCTGCCCTGGAGACACCCACAGTCTCTCGCAAAGCTGCCTCTAGGGCTGAGTGCAAAGTGGGTGGAGCCTGGCTCGCCATGGTCCCCATCACTGCTTCCAGGGCTCCGAAGCCAGAAAGCTAGAATTCCAGCCCTGGCTTCCCCCGGGACATAACGGGCAACTCACTTCCCCTCTGGGGATCTCACTCCCACTGTAATATAGGATCGGGAAACTCAGACCCTCAAGAAGGTGAGCATGAATGGAAAGTGCTTTGAAAGCCAACTTGCGACACTCAAGTTAGTCCTTGTCATTTATTCTTTGTGACACTGTACAACAGACCCCCAACACAATGGAAAGTGGCAGGTGGTTCTGCTCTGGGACATCCAGGAAGCTTCACCACGGTGGGAACCCTTGGGTTTATTGATGGAGCACCTCCTGTGTGTTAGACTCTGGACTGCACACAGGTCGGTCAGCCCTGGTCTCTGCCTTCGAGGAAGTGAGACTGGGGGAATGTACACAAGATGGCAGTACACAGTGATCCACACAGTGACAGAGAACAAAGCAAGAGGAGCTGTGGAGGCCTGGAGGTGAGGGTGGGGCAGTCAATCATTTTGCACTCAGGGAAGGCTTTCTGGAAGCAGTGACATTCAGTCTGGATATTGAAAGATGAATAGGCATTAGCAAGGCTGGAAAAAATATTCAGGTACAGGGAACGGCATGAAGGGAGGCATGAGACTTGGGTGGGAGGGGTGGTCTGGCTGCAGGGCCTGCAGCCACCAATCCGGGCTGAAGTCCTGGTGTGTATGCTAAGAGGCAGAGACAGGCTGCTGGATCCAGGCCTGGGTGGCTCATTGACACCCATCGGGGGTGGGGGGAAGGAAAATTTTGCACTCAGTTTCTTGGCCTCCACCACTTCTGGGGGCTCCTGATATGAAGCTGTTGCTAATAGATTTGAGGGCCTGGGGCTAGGAGTCAGGCCGGGGGTCTGTTCAGCCCCTATGCAGC